ACCATGGAGGATACCCAGTAAAAATAACCTGATACCAACTTTCCAGTATCATTGACCATTTTAGTGTTACAAGGTAGTGTTACAATTGAGGCAGTTTCAAGTAGAATATTCAAGCCTAATCAGTAATACAGCTATTTAATGTGAACATATTCCATTACTTGTTAATTAATAACCAACAAGGCAGAATAATTGCCACGGTGATCTGGAGTTTGTAGAGCCCCCCTAAGCAATAAAGAGTTAATCTAGTGGAAAGGTATGAAATGAAATTGCCTAGGAAAGAACACATGGAATCTATATGTTATGGAATTGATAGGTTTAGTACAGCCCTAGCTGGTGTGTGTATAAGCATAGAGGAATAATGGAAATACCGTAGAAAACAATTAGTAGACTGTGACAGTAGAAGTTATAAATTTGTCACATGTAATACATATGATCAATTAAAATCAGCACAGTCGGTGAAAGAAATGCATGAGAAATGCAGATGTATTTCTGTGTACATTTTTATGTATAAATATATAAAAATATATAATAAGATCTTTCCTTGAATGTGTGTTTAACGCTGGTATGTCCCTACTCTCAGTCATCTGGACTGATAGCTTTAATAAGGGGATGACCTTGGTTTAAACTAACCATATGTTTGCATGCTTACATGAGCTATATTGCAACAGAAGCTGGCACAGCTGCCAGAAGCAGCAACAGAGTTGACTAAATTATACTTAAGGACAACATATTTTGCTAATACTAACTTACAAATGGGGAAATTACAGCCCCCTTTTCAGTCCTCATACATAAATTTCCATTTCTGGTTTGTTCTACATTTTGGAACACATTAAATCAATACAATATTTTCAAATAAAGATATTGATAAAACCAATCCAATATCAGAAAAAATATATTAGGAGTCGAGCCCTTAAGCTTTTATAAGTCTCTTATTAGGCATAGGATAACAGCATAGCAATCTACGTTCTTAAAGTATTAGTTCTGCGTTGTAATCTGACTCCATCTGCTGAGTTTCTCTGCAGGTAATTTCACATCATTGTCCTTTCCAAAATAAATTCTTCACCATAAAGTATTCTGCACCCCATTTATTATGTGAGCAATACACTGTCAACTTTGGAGGTACCAATATCCTTCCTCAACAATACAGAAACTATGCACGCTTAGAAAGTAACAGAAATAATGGAAGTCATAGATGGGTACAGTAGCCTGCATGTTACACCAGTCAGTAACCAAGGGGCTTTTCAAGAGAGTATCTTTTTTGTTTGTATCTGTGATTGACTGTACTCTCCATCATACATGAGCAGATTACAGTGCATGTATGGAAGGAGCGAGGTTAGCTGGCCATTCAAGCCTCTGGCATAAAACAGGTAGGCATCCTAGTTTGTAGTGGGCTTAAATTAGTTTTAGAACACAGTAAACATCCTGCTAACATTTTTTTCTTAGCAAAATGCATATGAAGGAATTTGGCTCCCAGTAAAGAATGCACCACTAACTAAAAATGGCAATGCTAAAATTATCTCTTCTTCAGAAAAAGCTGAAAGATATGCATTACCATAATCTTTTTTAAGGAGTGGTATTGATGAGATGGAAAAACAAACAAACCCCGGTGTACTGAAATTGTAGAAGAAATTTTAACAGAACCTCAAAGTGGATGTGAAGGGAAAAAAAAAAATTCACCTAAAACATGCATGGAAAATAACACAACAAAGTTGTTACAAAATCTACCATGAAAAACTTGGATGTGACAGATATGTCTAAATCATATCTATGTGCAGAAAACCAGATATTGAGGATCCTATAAATTTCCATCTTTTTATACCTTTTCCAGTAAAAAAATCACCAAGGTCCAACTTTATCATTGGCATGCAATTTTATTATAACTCTGTGACTGGAATTCTGATTCCAGAGATGAATGCTGTGGCATTTTTTCAGCCACCAAAGCTTCAGCGACAGCAATTAGTACAAAGGTCAGAGATGTTACAAAACTGAGAACACTGTAGCCATGAAAATTTCTAAAATGTGTGTAAGTGGTCTGAAGGACACTTTTCTTCCCAAGACTTCCCAGCCCCACACAATCCTCTCTTATGGCTGCAGACTGTGGTACCTCAAAAGAGTTTTATACAATTCACTTTATTTCACTGTCCAAATGGAATATATGCTGTGTGTTTACATTGGGTGTTAAGTCTTTATTAGCTACTTCTCTACCCCTCTATTCCCCTTTGAACATGAACTCTGGCATCCACGTTTTGCTCCTTATTACCAATAACCTTAGGATAAACTACCAAACTGAGTAAACCTTTGCATGCAAGTGTCATGCAACAATAAAAGACAGAAAGTCACTAGTGACAAAAGCTTGTCAGGCTCATAGAAAAAACTAGCAAGGGGGAAAAAAAGTCATGTTGTAGTCCATTTCCCACAACGGAAACAGTGTGCATGAGTGCAGTTCATAACAAATACTGTTGTAAAAATATAGTAAGTGAAGTTTAGGACATTTGGGAATTGAAAACTGGCAACTAGAAAATGAGAGTGCAAAAAAATAGTTAAGAGGAAGAGTTTATCAGGGGTTTTGCCTAAGCCAAAACAACCATATGCTGCACCAGCTAAAAAATCAAAGTGATTTTCAATGTCAGCCTCAGGCAGTGGTAGGTCTAGGCATCTCTGTAGGTGCAACTAAATGGTGCTGATGATAGGGAGCAGTAGTTTTAGATCCTCTGAGAAATCTGTGCTTGCATAAGGTAGCAAAAGCATTGATAAGAGAGAGCAAGAGAGTGGAGAGACCTACATCAGAGAAGGCACAATCTTCTGGCACATCACAGGCGACAGAAGGAATTTCTGGATATTTTTGCTGCAAGACAACCCAACAGTCAGAATTGTTATCTGCTTTAGTAACCACTAATTGGAGTTTAGGCCTCCATTTAAGACACTACTTCCTTGCCTTGTCTTTACTGATCAATTTTCATCCATCTTTTATTTTTCTTATAGAGGAAAATAAAAACTGTTATGAATAAATCTTCTAGAGGTAGTGCATGTGACTGAATAAAGTGAAGATCAAGAGGATGCACTTTTGCCATGGCATCTACTGCTGTTTTTCTAAAGAAGAATAAATTGAAAAACATTTCTTTTAAAATGTTGTATGCATGACACAGCACGTTCAGTTGCATCTCATTTAGTCATGCAACTCCCAGTCAATGTAAAAGCCACAATGCATGGCACACCTTGAAGAGAGTTTCCCATGAAATAAAACCACTGTTAGCATTTTGTCTGCCGCTGCACACACATATTTGTGAAAATAAGAAAGGAAGATGGAGGGAGAGCAACAGAGTGAAAGAATGAATGCATGCACTGCATTCCACTGTGTAAATAGCACTATTCATTGTTATTTTGGTCATTTCTCTCTGATCAAGTCTTAAAAACAATTTAACAACTAAACGTACATTCACTGGTGAGAAAATTTTATTCTGAACTTGCCACAGAAATAGACTTGACAATGTAACAAATGTTTTCCATCTATAAATAATATAACTGTAAGTAATATTATTAGGCATCTCTATAGGGGCAACAACAATAGTGCACCTATACAGTGAATCTATAGATACACCTCTATGGGTGACTATAGTGAACTCATTTCTACACATGTATGAGGTTAACGTGATCATCTCTACGTGTCTACTTATATCACATTTTATCACATTCTACCATGCTTTATCACAAAATTTAAAATACTATCTCATTAATTCCATATAGCAACTTGTGTAGATAGCTAGTTGCCTCCTGGATTGTCTTTCAAAACATCACCATCTGAGCTGCACAGCTGAAGGGGGAACAGGATCCCTTTGCACATTTCAGAGTCAGAAACCTTCCGAAACTGTTAGCATCTACAGGGAGTATTAAATGACTAGTACTGGCTTGTGAAGTACTGGGAAAAGACAGCTTAGGAGAGAAAATGGCAATAAGCTGAAACTAGCACTGGGAAGTTAAAGGCCTGCTAGCCCAGAATGAATTAATTTCTGGTGCCCGCAGGGAAGCCCGAAGTGCCATCTGGCAGCAGGACACAAGCAGTGTGCTTGTGTTGCAAACACACTGCTCAGGACCACTGCAGAATCAGCCATCGGGCAGAGACCCGAAGGGCCCATTTAGTCTATTCTCCTGCTCCAAAGAAGGATCAATGTTCTTTGTGTCTTTCCCGGCAAATGTCTATCGTGTTGTGAAAATTCTTCAAACAAAAACCTATTCCAGTGCTTCAGCATCTTTACTACAGTCCACCTTTCTTTGGAGAAAATTATTCTCTCCCCTGTACACTAGCTTTTTGAAAACTTAGCATGTTTCCAGTCAGTCTTCTCTTTTTTTTTGACTTAAGAATCCAATGCACTCACTATTTTCTTGGACATTAGGTTTTTGAGACCTTGAGCCAGTCCTGCTGAGCCTCTCTGACTCCTGTTCTTGCATTGTGGAGAGCCCGGTGAGGGCAATCGTTACTTTCAGCACCCACAGCGTAGCAGGGCTTGGAAAAAGAATTGTCCCCTAATTCATAATTAGTGGATCATGCAGTGCTGTAGGAGTTTGACAGCCACAAAGCCAAGAACAGTGAATAACAAGATGCTGTTGTACCATCTAATTCTGTACAGCAAACAGTCAACATTAACTGGGAAGATAGGGAAATGCACTTCATCACGTGAAATAACAAGTTTGGGGGTACGCAGAACCCCTGGACCTTAGCATACCTGCCTTGAATATCTTTTTTATTTTCTCCTTCTGTCCTCAGAGACTTAAAGTCACAAGCACTCTTTTTGCAGGAGAATGAGTTTCTAAATAAGCAAATAAAGCTAAAACAAAACTGTAATCTCTATATTTCTAAGCACAGAGCAAGACATTTCTAATTATAAGTTTTAGAAGTTATATTTTCATTTCAGCCTTCTCTTTCTTTCCTCAGCAGGAAATGCACATTGAGACAATTAAGCAATAGGCAATTAGTTATCAAGTGTTTAAAGCTTCTTACTCACCCACTGGAGACATTTCTGGGACACTGGCAACATAAGGCCCATCCAGGAACTTTGGCTCATTATCATTAATGTCCTGCACTTTGATGATGAACTCTGATTCAGGCTCTAGTGGTTTCTTGGTGTCAACATCCACAGCCTGAGCCCGGAGTGTGTAGAAAGGTTTTTCTTCTCGATCTAGGCTCCTTATGGCATGAATGTCTCCTGTGGTCTCATCAATGGTAAAAACAGTGCCAGCACCATCTCCTGAAAGGGTATATTTAACAGTGCCCACTCCCTTGTCCAAGTCAGAATGAAGCTTGAGAACAAAAAGAAAAAAAAAAAGGGGGAGGGAAAGAACATTAATGGCTTTTTCTAGGCTGGAAGGCAATTATTATTTTTATTTTTTTCTCTTATGTAATAAAAGACATTAGAGGAACCAATTTCATAAGTCCTTAACTGTCTCTAAGTGCATGGAAAAAATTGGGGTAGCATGTTATCTAGTATTTTTACCCCCATCTAGTACCCAGCACAGAGAGCATTTCAAGATTCTACCTGCTTTCTCTCATGAATACAGATCACTACTAAAACTGTAATGAAGCAGGGCTTTGGATTTGTTATAAACTGAAATTTAAGACCAAGGATGGAAAACCACCAATAACCACATACAACAAACATGAGGTGACATGAGAGAGTGTCAAAAGCTTTCACAGGCATTTGGCTTTCAGAGAAGTAGAAGGGAACTATCTAATTTTCATTTCACACACAAGAGCTTGACAGAATCCTAAAATCAAACTCAAAGTCAAACCTTGTTTAAAAAAGACAATACACACCTCTTAATTACAGTAAATGCTAAACAGAACTAAAAATACTACCTCTTTTACACAAATATTTGATCATTTGTTTCTGTCCTTTCTGAGATAGTCACATTGCAGACAGCGTGAAGCTAGCAGTTCTCTTGCTCATTGGAAGAATACAGAACTCAATCATTTCTGCCTTAACTCAATTATTTCTGCCTTAAATACATGTTTTCCAGGCTGTTAGTATGTTAAATCTCTATTTCTAATTTGAAAAAATATTTGAATACAAGTTCTTGGATGTTTTTGTCCATACTATTATAATGTGGCCTTAAACACTATTTTATCGCAAGAATTTTTGAAATCAAAATACAGTATGATGAACTTCTTTCTCAGATGCCTTCATCTGTTTCATGCTCATCCTTTAAATACATCTAAAAGTTTTTAATAGATACTCAAGGTTACATCACTGATGCTGAAATAGCTTTTAAAATATTCCCCCTCTTGTCCCATCTAATGAGGACTAAAGAGATCCACTATAATGGACACAGGTTGGAATGGAGTTTTCAAGAGTGAATTCTCTTAAGCAGTATAGTAAAACGATTATGGATAGGCTTTATTTACATGATGTACTGCCCAAGGTGAAACACAATAGAGGAAACATGGGACATGAAAGGAAATTATGTAGAAAATGAATTACTGAGAAACTAAATGGTTTTGGTAATGGGGCAAGAAGCTAAGCTACAAAGAAAGAGGTAAAAGCAATTATTAACATTTATAGCTATTGCCTTGACATTGAAAATAGGTCCTTGTGACTGTGGAAGAGGTCACGGTTTGTGGGACAGAGCGAACATGAACATAGTCTCTTCTTTGTCTACTTTTTCATCTCATCATTCCTGCTCAGTGAATATACTAGTTTCTGATCTTTCATCTAGCTGTCCGCTGCATGTGATTTAAAATTATCTCTCCAGTCCAAAGTAAAGCATTTTGCTTCTTGAGCACTGGTTCACTGTGGAAAGATTCAAAGGAAGTTAATTCTTTTCTTCCTGGGGTGTTAAATATTTCCTTGCTTGCAAAATGAAAAGATAGTGCAGCCTGAGATAATTAATGTCTATTTCTTCCTCATAATTTTAATTTAAGTGGCTCACAAGCTTCCTGCTGTTCCATTATACCTTGCTCAGTTAAAACTTAGTATTTTCCTTCCATTATCATATAGAGGCTTACAGACACACATGGAGTGGAAAAAAAAAATCAAAATGATTATGAGAAAGCTCAAAGAAAAAATGTTAGAACTTTATAGAGGGAACCACACCATTTTCTTACTTGTGTCCCTGTATTAAACAAAATATGTCTGGGCTTTATTGTGAAGTCTACCTTGTTCCCTTCTCCTGGAAATAAGAATATCACAGAGCAAAAGAATGTGGTTTCGAAGAAGGGATTTGTAAACAGGGAAGCATGCCAAGAATATTGTCTTTACTCCCATCTCCTGTCATCAGATTTGGGACTAAAGATGAGATGGTTGAGTCTTTCCGATTGCCAGCTGAAGGGTTTATGTTCAACTAGTAACAAATCAGGCTGCACTGCATGCATTATCTGAGCACTTGGATTATACTAGAGAGAAATAATTATAGTTGCTTCCCCTAGCTGGGGAAAAAGTTAAAAAATGTAACAAGAAAAAAGCAAAACAAGGGCTCCTAAGAGAAAGGAAGAGTGAAATACAAAGACAAGCACAAAAATAGCTTTTTTCAAATATATTGGAGTAAAAAAAGCTTTATAACTGGTAGCATTAGAAATTCTACAGTTATAGATGTGTTTACTGTGCTTCACAAATATCACTCAGCTAGTATAACATAGGAACCATTCCATTGATTTAAGCAGAGTTGTATTGCTTTGCATTAGCTGGGATCTGTCACATTGTATTTATTCATCAAATGATGCTAATCTTCTGATTTCAATATAGGCTTCTTAGATGTCATTGCTGGACGATGGGCAAATGCATGCTTATTTGTAACCCACGTTGAGCTATGCAATTTGTGGGGCAATTCAACATTACAAAGTGTCTAACTACTGTAGGGGAATAGCTGATTGATTTATTTAAAATGAACTAAATTCTCCAACAATAAAAGGCACGCAATACTGAGATTCAGATGCAAGGACAGAGAGAGAGGAACTAGCATTCATTGGACTTGCACAACACTAGAAAATAATCCTGACTTTCAATGCCTGAAATTTTCCAGAGAGAAGTTTAGGTTAAAGAATAAGTGCTGTATTGCACTGGAAGAAAATACTTTTGTGTGTGTGTGTGCTGAAAAACGTATAGAAGATTTGTGAGAGACTAGTTTTTCTGACACTGTGTCCAGAAGTATTTTTGGTTTTGTATCCCATTTCTCCTTCCCGCTTGTACTTATTTTCTAATTCTTGCTCTTCTGCTATTTGAGCAAAACTACAGGGCAAGAGAACAAGTGCTCAAATCTTACCTAAACCCCCCAATGTGTTTACATTTCAGAATTACTTGCATTTACTGCAACAGGGTGGTACAAATGATTGTATTCATATGGATTTTTCTTGCTGTTATGTTTTCTCTGTAAATCCAGAATATTAAAAATGCCACAAGGGTTTGGAAATGCAAGGGATTCATTTCTACTTTTGCTCAAACGTGCACTGTTTTTCTCACTACCTAGGTAACACAGAGTTTAGTGTCAGATCTTTGGGCAAATCTTCCCCAAGTGTAAAATTAATGATTTCTTGCAGCAAAATCTTAGTGCAGTAAATCATGAATATTTTTCTGTGATGGCAGATAAAGACACATCATCCCATAATTCTTGCTAATGTGTGCAAACAATAACGCATATGGCAAAGGAAATGACTGATGAAAAATTCAAGTATGAATAACAAGATGGAGACTATGGTGAAATACATTGCGTAAACCTTTGCAGAAACTATGACAGTGTTCTTGAATCTTATCCAATACCAGATGCCAGACTTAGTTAGTCTACAAGTCCATGTGATCTAGCAATCTGCTTCAGTTTATAACTATCTGAAAGTTAGTTTGCTTCAAAGAGGCTGAAAAAGTTGGTAACAACTCGCTACAAGCACATCTAGGAGAAACTATTTATTCAGTTCTTCAAACAGTTATGTCCAATTCCTAGCAAACAGTATGATTATTCATATTTTAGCAATAAATTAAGACCTTACTGCTTCAATAACTCAGTGTTATTAAGTCCGTGTCACTTCAAGAATTCATACACCTGCACAAATGATTTGATATTACATGTGAAACCACATGAAAGATCAAGAAATATGTTAGCTAACGTACTTCAAGAACTACTGTATACTAGCTAAATTCCACATGGCAGTAGTACAGATCAGAAGTATGTGTTCCTTGGTGCTGATTTGCTCCTCAGTATCCTATGCATCTGATCTTCAACTGTACATCTTCTCTTTTGTTAAACACTTCAATGGCTTGCATTAATGAACTTACAATGATTTAGAAAGTAAATTTGTAAATTCACATAGGTAAAGAAATCAGAAGCAAAAGAAGCTTAACAAATTGCAAGATAGTCTAGCCTTAAAATGAAGTAATCACTGCAGCCTCACAGAGCATGCAAGAACAAGGGCTGTGACATTTACTAGGATTGCTGTGATCTTAATTTCACAGTAATACAAATATTGAAAAGTTGTTTTATGAATTGACTGGTTCCTTTTCTTTATTTCCTATCCATATACAATAAAAAAAAGGTAGAGAAAGAAAGGAGGAGGAAGTAAAAAAGTTTTAAATGTCAAGGAATGTTTAACATTCTTAAATTGATATATCCACCCTGTGATATACTTTGAGATTCTAAGTCTTATTCCATTGCCAATTTCACAGGCTGAAAAAAATTCACTGTTCAATTTATTTATTGCTAGTAGATCAATTTAAATGCTATATTGCGGTGCATATCTGGACTGAAAACATTGCTAAATGTTCCAAGATATTAACTCTTTCTTGCATAAACAATGATACTAGTTATCCATCCCATATCTGTATCTTTACAACATTTTTCATTATGCAATATATTTTAGGACTTTATTCCATTATTTCCTCTGCCTGTATCTACTTCCAAGTATCTCCATTTGCTCTGTAGCCACCAGCTCCTCCCCCTCCCCTTTCTTGGGTAAGATGTGCAATGAAAACTGTTCAAGAAGTTCCAAAATAGCCAGTTGTCCTGGTTTCGGCAGGGATAGAGTTAATTTCCTTCCTAGTAGCTGGTACAGTGCTGTGTTTTGGAGTTAGGATGAGAACAATGTTGATAACACACCCATGTTTTAGTTGTTGCTAAGCAGTGCTTACACTAGTCAAGGACTTTTCAGCTTCCCATGCCCTGTCAGCAAGAAGCTGGGAGGGGGCACAGCCAGGACAGCTGACCCAAACTGGCCAAAGGGACATTCCATACCATGTGACGTCATGCTCAGTACATAAACTGGGGAAAGCTGGCCGGGGGGGGCCGCTGCTCGGGGACTGGCTGGGCATCGGTCAGCGGGT